ATAAGATTAAAGGATATGAAAAGTTTAGCTTGTTGGTCACAACATGAATCAATAGTGTATGAATAATATGCATGTCATAGCAGCCTCAGCAGAATGAAAGAAAAATGCAATAGTATTCAAAACTATCACTAAGTCAATAAACTATAAGGATACTAGTTCACTTCTCCCACTGTACCGAAAAGAGAAACAAGGTTTAGTTCCTACCTACATATCATTCACGCACACAAACCAATTTGCATAAGTGAAATGGTAAAATGCACTTATTTGGTAGGACTTACGGATCCCAGAGAATCACATGATATAACGATTATCTAAAAGAATAAAAAGATATGTCGTACCGTGTTTTGGCGATGAGAGCCAGCAGAGCCCCTTCCACGTGTCCTGATGCCGGTGCTTGTATGCTGATTAGGAGGCCAAAAGCTGAGACGAATAAATCTATTAGAGAGAATCGGATCTGGACTGCGATATGCGGCCTCTGCCTCGGCAGGTGTCCTAAATTTCACCAAGGCAGAGCTTGATTCACCGTCAAACTGTGTAATGACATTAACGAGTTTGCCAAAACGCTGAAAATGAGTCGATAATCGAGTCACATCATTTAAATGCCAAGGCAACTTTGTTACAAGCAGTGAGCAAGATAGAGAGGCAGGAGCACTTGTTACTGGTCTCGGTGGCATTCCAAGGACTCCATCGGAACTAGAAATTAGAAGTGGCTTGTAGGATAAATCAGAAGCAGCAGAACCATCCGTTCTCATTGCGTTATGGGAGAATAAATTTGCTTTATCAGAATTTTCATTGCCTCTCAATCTAGTTCGCTCGTCTACATCTTTGACTTCGATACTTTCAATTTCTTTTTGTTCTTTAGGAAATTCGTTATTAAAAACCTCCTCACTTGCATCAATCATTGAGAAATGAGGCCTGTCTGGTTCGTAAGCTGGTGGAACGGCTAAATTAGAAGCAGTGCCACCCACAAGAGGGATGATATGACGAGCCTCAGCAGATGGTTTGCGATTTCTCGAGTGAGGTCGCCGTGATATCTGAGTATGATTTAGGCCTAACTCTGCAACCGACAAAACTGCAGTTGTAAGACAATGATTTGATGCAAGATGGCCCACGGAGTCAACTAAACATAAAAGACAGCGTGTTTCAAACAAACAGGAGAATAAGTGCTATCTGAAAACGATAACATATATGAGCGTAAATGTGTGAAATCAACTTATACAACAAACATACTTGGAGTTGGCCGGTAAACAGGGACATTCTGTTGCTCAGGTTGGAGGAGAGGTGTCTCCAAACTAGGTTCGAACAAGAGAGCCTCCTCATTTGTAAGCTCCGACTCAGTAACGGGATTTTGCGTCAAGCAACGTAAAACAGCAGCAGCCGAGGTTGAACTTAAGGAATTTTCTATTGACATTTCTTTGGGAAACTGAGAATTGTTGCTAGGGTTTATATGGAGACCTGTAGGCGAGAGTAACTGGGGGAAACTTGAGTGCAAAAATCCAGGGTCGTCGGCCATGCGACTTCGGAACGTTTGGCTTTGATTAGTCCTAGTTGGAAGCTGCACCTGTTGATTGACCAAAATAGCTGCCCGGGGAGGTGATTTGTTGCGATGCCTGCCCTTATGTCTTCTATTTACATACCTTTCATCAGGTGTAGTTCGTTCGGCACCTGCACAATGCACATAACGATTATTGTCCAAAGAAGGCAGTTCCCGAGAGCGATGCTGCACGTCATTATTTGGCGATCTATCACGATCTCTCTGCTCATACTTGGTCACAACGTTTTCCCGAACGCGTAAATCGAATTCATCTGTCTGATGCTGCTTGCCAGGCTTAAGATCTCGATTCCGCTCTTGGTCACGAGATCGCCGCGTTTCGGAACCAGTTTGAAGTTGAGGAGAGAATGCTGTACAGACGAGTTAATAAATTGAGGAAAATAAGTCCATGTATCAAATATATGAGTGCTTACTTTTTGGGCGATTCGAATCATCATGTAAGTCGACATATTTCGTTTTGGAATGCGGCTCGTCAAGATGCTTTTTAACGAAATCGCGCTGTTTGGGCCTTATGCATTCAGGAGACCTGGATCGGTCTTTTGGGGGTTTTCTGGTATCTTCCGCAGATGGAGAACGGGATGAATTTTTTATCTCATGATTGGCGACTTGTCGGGACTTCGACGGCTGTAGGGGTAGCTGTTCTGAATGACCAACATATGAATGCAACTCAAGGGCTCTGAAAAGATCCTCAACAAATGAAGCCGTATTCTCCTGAAGAAATACTTCAAGTTGATCAACGCAAATTTCTTTGAGCTGATCCTCAGGTTTATCTTTTTTTATCAGGGCAATTACGTACTGCGATAGCGGAATTGGGTCGGCTACACAGCTAAAATAAAAACACCTATATTAGCCATGCAAAACAAAAATTCGATCAATAAACTACAAATTTATCACACAGAGGTTTTAATTTATTTATAAGCCAGTCCTTAAGCGCAGCAACATCAAATTGAATCATGTCGAAATGTTGTACAGAATGTGAGCCGCAGAGAGAGCAATTGTTTGAGTAGCTTCAAGCGAGCTAAACAAGCTTACTAATAGTCAGGATATATTAAACCTAACATATTTTGATATTATTATGTTTTAATAGTTTAAGGTAATATATATTCAAACAATCATTTTATTGATCTTATGATATAAAAAATTGAATAATTAATTAATTGTATTAGGTTTTTATTATTACTATTTATTCGTGCTATCTAATCCCGGGTGTATCAAACATTTCCCAGATGTCTAAATTGGTTCTCGCCGCCCTCTTTTTTTCTCTCGCCTTATCTCCTTGCGAGTCGCTAAGACATACTTTATCACTAAAAGTATTTATTCCATTACAATAAGCTTTAAGAATGATGAGAGAAGAAGTATTTTATGTACTCTTTATGGCCTACTTCATTCTGGAAAGATCTCCATATCTATAGAAAATTTGGAAACCCAAGCCCAGAACGTAAGGCGGCTGAGATGTGGCCGAATATTGTGCTTATTGGTCTTATCATCAAACTGCTTTTAACAAACGGTACCATTTTTCCTTTGCTAGATTGGTTTTACGTTCGATAAGACTGGCAATTTCGGAGCCGCAGCCTACCTGGTAACTTTATTTTCAATTTATTTCGAATTTTTATGAGGAAAGTAAATCCTCACCATGTCCACTAAGATCAGTGGATGATGGTGATGTAAACGTTATCTATCTTATTTTCGACGCTGAGCGCAGGTAAGCTTCCTTATCACT